GTTGAGCATGAATATGATTTGATCATGTTTATTGCAATACGGTTATTCATTTAAAGTCAGAGAATAATTGTTGTTCTGTTTACATGAATAAAACCTTCAATGGTCATACACCCAATGAAAATTGTTTGTTGGATCTCGATCGTAGTGATACACATATTCATAATATTGATGCCAAAAGATGCAAAGTTAATAATGATAGTTCAACTTATTTGTGGCACTGCCGTTTGGATCATATCGGTGTAAAGCGCATGAAGAAACTCCATAAAGATGGACTTTTAGAATCACTTGGTTATGAATCATTTGATGCTTGCGAATCGTGCCTTTTGGGCAAGATGACTAAAACTCCGTTCTTCGAAACAATGGAACGAGCAACAAACTTGTTGGAAATAATACATACTGATTTATGCAGACCAATGGGTATTAAGGCTCGTGGCAGGTGTCGTTATTTTCTGACCTTCACAGATGATTTGAGCAGATATGGGTATATCTACTTGATGAAACATAAGTCTGAAATAGTTGAAAGGTTCAAAGAATTTCAGAGTGAAGTGTAAAATCATCGTGACAAGAAAATAAAGTTTCTGCGATCTGATCGTGGAGATGAATATTTGAGTTATGAGTTTGGCCTTCAGTTAAAACAATGTGGAATAGTTTCACAAACTCATGCCACCTGGAACACCACAGTGTAACGGTCTGTCCGAACGTCATAACCGCACTTTATTTGATATGGTGCGATCAATGATGTCTCTTACCGATTTACCAATATCATTTTGGGGTTATGCATTAGAGATAGCTACATCCACATTTAAATAGGGCACAATCTAAATCCATTGAGACGACACCGTATGAACTATGGTTTAGCATTAAACCCAAGTTGTCGTTTCTTAAAGTTTGAGGTTGCGATGCTTATGTGAAAAAGTTTCATCCTGATAAGCTCAAACCCAAATCGGAGAAGTGCGTCTTCATAGAATGCCCAAAGGAAACTGTTGGGTACACCTTCTATCACAGATCCGAAGGCAAGATATTCGTTGCTAAAAATGGATCCTTTCTAGAGAAGGAGTTTCTCTCAAAAGAAGTGAGTGGGAGGAAAGTAGAAGTTGATAAGGTAATTGTATCTTCTCCTGAATTGGAAAGTAATTCATCACAGAAATTAGTTCCAGTGATTCTTACACCAATTAGTGAGGAAGTTAATGATGATGATCATGAAACTTCAGATCAAGTTATTATAGAAACTTGTAGGTCTTCCAGAGTACGGTCCGCACCAGAGTGGTACGGTGATCCTATTCTAGAAGTCATGTTACTAGACCATGATGAACCTATGAACTATGAGGAAGCGATGATGAGCCCAGATTCCATGAAATGGATTGAAGCCATGAAATCTGAGATGGGATCCATGTATGAGAACAAAGTGTGGACTTTGATTGACTTGCCCGATGATCGGTGAGTCATTAAGAATAAATGGATCTTCAAGAGGAAGACAGACGTTGATAGTAGTGTTACTATCTACAAAGCTCAACTTGTCGCAAAAAGGTTTTTGACAAGTTCAAGGTGTTGACTACAATGAGATTTTCTCAACTATAGCGATGCTTAAGTCTGTCTGAATCATGTTAGCAATTGCCACATTTTACGAAATCTGGCAAATGGATGTCAAAACTACATTCCTTAATGGTTTTCTTAAAGAAGAGTTGTATATGATGCAATCAGAAGGTTTTGTCAATCCTAAAGGTGCTAACAAAATGTGCAAGCTCCAGTGATCCATCTATGGACTGGTGCAAGCATCTCGGAGTTGGAATATACGCTTTGATAAGTTGATCAAAGCATATAGTTTTATACAGACTTGCAGTGAAGCCTGTATTTACAATAAAGTGAGTGGGAGCACTACAGCCTTTCTATAAGTATATGTGAGTGACATATTGTTGATCAGAAATGATGTAGAATTTTTCTGGAAAGCATAAAGAAGTGTCTGAAAGGAGTTCTTTAAAATAAAGACCTCAGTAAAGCTACTTACATATTGGGCATCAAGATCTATAAGATAGATCAAGACGCTTGATAAGATTTTTCAATGAGTATATACCTTGGCAAGTTTTGAAATAGTTCAAAATGGATCAGTCAAAAAAAGAATTCTTGTCTGTATTACAAGGTGTAAAGTTGAGTAAGACTCAAAACCCGACCATGGCAGAAAATAGAAATAGAATGAAAAGTCATTCCCTATGTCTCAGTCATAGGTTCTATAAAGTATGCTATGTTGTGTACCAAACCTATTGTATACCTTGCTCTGAATTTGGCAAGGGAATACAATTCTGATCTAAGAGTAGATCACTGGACAACGGTCAAGAATATCCTTAGTAAGGACTAAGGAAATGTTTCTCGATTATGGAGGTGATAAAAGAGCTTGTCGTAAAGAGTTACATCGGTGCAAGCTTTTGCACACATATTGAAAGTGGGAGCAATTAGCTATAGTAGCTCCGTGCAGAGCATTGTAGACATAGAATATTTGCAAAATACATACGACTCTGAATGTGACAGACCCATTGACTAAACTTCTCTCGCGAGCAAAACATGATCATACCTTAGTACTCTTTGGGTGTTAATCACATAGAGATGTGAACTAGATTATTGACTCTAGTAAACACTTTGGGTGTTGATCACATGATTATGTGAACTATGGGTATTAATCATATACAGATATGAGTATTGGTGTTAAATCACATGATGATGTGAACTAGATTATTGACTCTAGTGCAAGTGGGAGACTGAAGGAAATATGCCCTAGAGGCAATAATAAAGTTATTATTTATTTCCTTATTTCATGATAAATGTTTATTATTCATGCTAGAATTGTATTGACCGGAAACTTGATACATGTGTGAATACATAGACAAACATAGTGTCACTAGTATGCCTCTACTTGACTAGCTCGTGGTTATTGACCGGAAACGAGTCTTGGTCATGTCTACATAGTTCTCGAACTCGTAGGGTCCGCACGCTTAAGGTTTCGATGACAGTTATAATATGAGTTTATGAGTTTTGATGTACCGAAGTTTGTTCGGAGTCCCGGATGAGATTACGGACATGACGAAGAGTCTCGAAATGGTCGAGACGTAAAGATCGATATATTGGACGACTATATTCGGACTTCAGAAAGGTTCCGAGTGATTCGGGTATTTTTCGGAGTACCGGAGAGTTACGGGAATTCGCCGGGGAGTATATGGGCCTTATTGGGCCATACGGGAATAGAGGAGAGAGGCCAAAAGGAAGGAGGCCTGCGCCCCCTCTGGTCCGAATTGGACAAGGGGTGCAACCCCCTTTTCCTTCTCCCTCTCCTCCTCTTTCCTTCTCTCCTACTCCAACAAGGAAAGGAGGAGTCCTACTCCTGGTGGGAGTAGGACTCCCCCTTGGCGCGCCCTCCTCCTTGGCCGGCCGCCTCCCCCCTTGCTCCTTTATATACGGGGGCAGGGGCACCCCATAGACACAACAACAATTGATCTCTTTATCTCTTAGCCGTGTGCGGTTCCCCCCTCCACCATAATCCTCGATAATATTGTAGCGGTGCTTTGGTGAAGCCCTGCGACGGTAGAACATCAAGATCGTCACCACGCCGTCGTGCTGACGGAACTCTTCCCCGATATTCTGCTGGATCGGAGTACGGGGATCGTCATCGAGCTGAACATGTGCTAGAACTCGGAGGTGCCGTAGTTTTGGTGCTTGACCGGTCGGGCCGTGAAGACGTACGACTACATCAACCGCATTGTTCTAACGCTTCCGCTTTCGGTCTACGAGGGTACGTGGATAACACTCTCCCCTCTCGTTGCTATGCATCACCATGATCTTGCGTGTGCATAGGATTTTTTTTGAAATTACTACATTCCCCAACAAAATAAATCAAAACAACCATCATAATCACATAAATAAGACCTAGAATACTTTGCATTCAAAACAATATCAACAACACAAAAATAAATAAGTACGTGCACAAAAATGTTAGTCTTCTTACAACACGCCTTGAACAATGATGATCCAGCACCACAGTGAACACATCCACACAAGAATCAAAAGAGGAACAAGGGCCACCTGGCATACGGCAAAAGGGGCAAGCCATACCTGCATAGAACACATTCATTATTAAGAACTGATTACACAACAAAGTTGAAAGCTGATATTTGATAGTGTTGGAAGCCCCCACCCACAATCACACCATAAATCTCCATTGCCCAAAAATATAATGAGAAAAAAGTAAAACAAACTGGAAATAGGGAACCAACGAAGGCAGCTGGCAGGCAGGCAGTAGGATGACGCGGCCGTGCACGGAAAAGAAGGGCCGCCGTGGGCAGGCGATAACAGTCACGGCGGTGACGCGCAGCGAGGACGCAAAAAAGTGAAAAAGGAAACAAAGCAAAAAAGCTCAGGCTGCGACGACGTGTCAGCAACGAGACAGAGAAACAGATCAAAACTATATTACAAAATACTAAAATGTTCAAGAACTAAAGTGAAAAAAAGTGAAAAAAGGTAAACCAGAAATGAAAACCGAAAGCCAAAAAATCACGGGAACGCTCCTCCGTGTGATAAGTGTCACACGCGCATTGTCCTAGAAAAGTCTCAGGACGCTCCACGCGTGACACTTGTCACGGGCGGAGCATTCCCGGATTGACCTATGCGGAAAGCACTCCTCAACTAGTGATTTCATCTTTTTTTTGTCCATGAAACGAAAAGGAAAAAGGGTGAGATGGGCCGGCCCAGGGCGGGGCGCTGCAGGCGCGTGCAGGATTCGCCGCCTCGTACCACAATCCCCAAACCGCTGCCCTAGCCCGGTTCCGCAGACTCGACGGCGCTTCCTCCAGCCTACCCGTGGCGGCTGCTACCCACCGCGAGAGTAATCTCTTTAAGCTCTCCTCTCGATTCGTTCCTACTCGCGCCTATCATCTTCTCAACGCGTTGCTCCTCCTCTAGATCGGCGGCGAACAGGCGGCCAGTGAGCTCCATCTGTTTCTGGCGATTTGTTTTCCATGGATCAGGTCGGTATATTGTAGTTCCTCCTTCAGTGTTTTCCCATAGACCTCGTTTTTATTCTGATTTTAAAAAATCCCTTTGACTTTTATTCAGGACATACGTCTTGTTTTTCCAGAAGTTCGAAAATGTATTGCGCGTATTTCCTTTTGTCGGGAGGGCGAGACAAAGGAGTTGAGGCATATGGTAATTCCTGGAATCGTCGTTGCAGTTGATACGGATGGATCGGCTACGATAGTTGCAAACCCTGTGTTTTTTAAGATGTGCCCTGAATTCAAATTGAGTTTTCCAAATGATACTGCCGCCGGTTATGAAAAAGAACGGAAGCTTTTCTCCACTATGGTGGATTATCGCGACAAATTTTGTACATTTAAGCTGAAACCGGAAGTAAATGGATTTGTGCAACCAGCAAAGATTGAGACTAAGCCCTTGAAAGCTGCTGATTATGCTGATGCCTTCATATTTCCACGGAAAGACTTTATTACACCAGCTGCTTATTGCAAAGGGGGTGTCGTGTAAGTTCAAAAACCAAACCTATTGTTTTTAGATGTAATATTTGGTATAAGTGCCAATAGTGATGTGTTTCCATTTTCTATAAACAGGAATGGAACAGAAGCAAAAACAGAAGTTATGCTTGAGAGTGCATCTCATGAGTATGCATATCTGGGGTCACCAATATTCAATAGGAATGGTGCCCTCGTTGGAATTAGTTATGCTGATATTGGTTGTTTGATCGCGTGGACAACGCAGGAATTACGTGATGATGTGCTTAAACATCTGAGTGGGTAAGATGTAATCATATCTGCATAAGTTGGTTTTAATTCTTTATGTAAACAAAAGTGGCTACAGATTTCTCTAACGTTGCCTTTTGCTTTTGTATGTCAGCATTTCGTATGTCTCGGATGGAATTCCAGTGGAACAAGCCCCTGTGCAGCAAAATTAACACATATTGTAGCAGGTTGTAAGTTTCACCAATATGAACTGTTGTTTTCATAGTTTTGAATTTGAGTTAATTGCAGCATCCTGTATGTTTGAACTATCATGTGACAGGATAGTATGGCTACTATTTCAAAATTATACTCCCTCCTTCCCAAAATATAAGGCACCGTTTGACTTTTCTGATCTTTGTTGTACAACCTTGACTATGATTTTCATATATTGTATGTCTATAAAATTAGTATACAGACATATGAACTACAATTGTTTTGCAAGACAAATACGATGATGTCATTTGTACATGTTCAATCCATGTACTTTGATATATATTAATGGTTAAAGTCATGCATCAAAGACCGTGCAAAGTCAATCGCACCTTATATTATGGGAATGAGGGGTATTTTTTAGAGTAAATTGCCAAAAACCACCACAATTGCGTCGCTCATTGCGAAAAACCACCGTTTTCATAAAAGTTAGCCCAAAACACCGATTTTGAGTAATTGTTTGCTGAAAGCACTAAAAGTGATGCTTGACCACGTTTTGACACGAAAACTGACAGTGGGGTCCATTTGTCAGCGCCACGTGGCACGGGGTAACGGCCAGCAGAGACGGACGTTGGACCATTTGACTGAACCGTTAGGTTGCCGCGGGCCCATCCGTCGGCATGTATAGTCCGCTTCCTCTCTCATGCATTCCATCGAGCATCTTGTGCGCATCAGGGGGAGAGCTGGAGGGCGGTCCACTTCCGCACGCCGGCGGAGTTCGACCTGCTTATGTCGTTGTGCAGCTCGCCGGAGCAATACCGGAGTCAGCCGCCCCTGCAATTCCGCGCGGACCTGTGGAGGGCGAGGTGAGTGGCGTGCTGGGCGACGAGGAGGAGGCCCAGGAGGAGCTCGCGCGCCCGCGCCCCTGTCCGCTTCGGCAAGGGCGAGTTCCATGCGAGCCCACTCCGGAGAGTCTGAGCTCCTGCGCGCAGCCAACTTGCCCCGTATAGGAGGCAGCACCAGCCGGTGAGGTGAGTGGCGTGCTGGGCGACGAGGAGCTCGCGCGCCCGCGCTCCTGCCCGCTTATGGGAAGCAGAACTCCCCACGAGCCCGCTGCGGAGAGTCTGAGCTCCTGCGCGCCCGAGCACCAACCCACTGCTGGGAGGCTGAGCTCCAGGTGCCCGCAACCCTGCCGCCTGATTCAGCGAGGCCCACCTTGTTTTGGTCGGGAGATCGAGCACCGCTCAATTTGGTCGCCGGCTTAGGGGTAGCTAAAGCGGCGGCCGGCATGGCGCGTCGGATTCGGAGTCCCGGTGCTCGTCGGAGGATGAACCGTAGGGAAGGGAGGCGCGGCGCGGTGGGGTAGCAGCACAGGAGCAAGGAGGAAGATGGAGGAGAGAGGATGATAGGTGGGCCCTATATCAGCCTAACAGCTGGGTCAAACGGTGTGAGTTTTCTACGCCACATCATCACTTACAAGGCGCCTCATTGTCAGTTTTATGTCAAAACGTGGTCAATCATGGTTTTTAGTGCTTTCGGCAACCAATTACTCAAAATCAGTGTTTTCAGCAAACTTTTATGAAAACGGTGGTTTTTCGCACTGAGCGACGCAATTGTGGTGGTTTTTCGCAATTTACTCTATTTCTTAAGATAAAATAGTAAAGAGGGTTTAGCCTAGTAACTCTTGCAGCAAGTTCTGCGATCAGTCTGAATGTGCTGTTTTTAACTATAGAATAGTGAGGTGGGCATTGTCCTATCCTGCTTTAATTCTAGGCATGTCCCTTTAGAAAGTTTTTCTGCAACATACTCTTTATTTTCCACTTTTTGCTCTAGCGCACAAAAAAAAGATTGGCTAAGCACCATTACACAAACTTATATTTTTGGCGGAACACATGGGACGCTAAGCACAACATCTGATTGACCATTTTGATCTTGCCTTGTGCAGATCCAAGCTGAGAAGATGTGAGAAAGAGCTAAAGAGGTTGAAGTCCGTGGAATTGAATGATTAATGGACTGCTGGTCTCTTTTCTTGCTGAAAATTTGAAGTTGCTAACTTTTGGAATGTAATTTGCACTAGTGTGGTGCTGGTGCTGGTGCACATCTTATTCTTTGCACCTTTTTGCTTTGTTTAATTTCACTTGTGACTTGAGGGACTAAGTAATTGTATGAATGATGTGTTGATCTTGATGCTTCTTACACTATTTTATGAAATAGTTCTATACTTACATAATTGTGAATTGTAAGTATATTTAGCAAAAGTAATAATTGGTTTTGTTTCGCTACGACGAGTCTCAATCCGGCTTTAGAGCTTCACTGAGCGTGTAGTGTGATTTAAACCTCGAGGTTGTAGACCTCAGCGTAAACAAGCGCTCACCTCCAAATCCTTTATCCTGGTCTAAATGAACCTTTGGATATCACAGAAGAGAGCGGCGTTTCGGCGGACGAGCTCGCTTGCTCTGCTTTATATGGACCAATGGCGCACATGCGCGCGGGCACGGCAATAATGACCAACGAAAATACCGGTTTGTATACGCCGAGGGAACAGTGAACATGCAGCTGTCGGCTCGCTTGCTCTGCTTTATATGGACCAATGACGCACTTGAGGCATTGTCACGGCAGCTTGTCGTACTGTACAGTTGGTGCAGCATGGCAAAATGAAGATGAACGTCCTCTTTTTGATCGATATTCGTTATTTTGTGGGGATTGATCGCTGGCATTACTAACTTGTTATTTGATGCAAATAATGTGCCTCCAAGCTACTGGTACTGTTAGGATCCCAAGCATCGAGCTCATATACATATTGACTCCCCCGTGTCAGAAACAATCCAAACAATTCCAAAAAAAAAAGTGAACTTGCTACTTGGATTTTTTTTTTCTTCTGAAAATCCTCACAAGATTGATACTTCCTAAATTTTCCATGTTGCAAAAACAAATTTACCTATATTTTCTTAGGTGGCAAACAAAAAATATCGTGGTATACATGTTATGTACAAAAAGAATTGCCATGATCTATGTAAAAAACTATATAAAAAGTGAAAATAAATCACAAAGCAAGTTTGCCATGCCAAAATATAGTGTAAATAATTTCTCCATGGTAAGTTCAATAAAAATGTTGCGGGTAAGAAATTTGCCATGTGTAGGGAAGTGTAAGAAAAATTGTACAGGTGACATGACAAAGTTTTTATGAAAATTCCATGTCACATGTCACTAGATCATTTTTTCTTAAATTCGCCATGTCGCAAATGAGTATTCGGGCGAGTGGCGCAACTTGGGATGCGAGTGGTATTTCGGAGATATGCTACGCGCAGGTCCATCATCAACGGTAGGAATATTTAATATTTGCCCGCTTGCTCTCACATACAACACTTTAAATACGCGCATCGGCACAGATCCAAACGCAAAACGACATCTGTGGGGACCCTGACTCATAAGTCGTGATCACCGAATGCACGTGTACAGTGATCCCAGAAATCAATGCTCACTGAACACACAGAAGCTAAATAACAAGAGTCTTACATCCATACATACCGTCTTACACAAATTATGACCATTATGGTCAAGTCTTACATAGATAAAGCCACAGGGGCTGAATACCAAATAAGCTTAAGCAGCGGAAATCTTCGTCGATAAGTAGAACCCATGCCATCTGCCTTAACCCTACAGGCATTCTGACTAGGAAGCGTCCAAGTTCGCATGTTCGTCTCCAAAGAACTCTTCTTCGAACTCCTGTTCTTCCATGCCTGGCCAATTAAATAATCAGTGGCAAGCCAATGAGTACTTTGAATGTACTCGCAAGCAACCCATGATTGGAACAAAGCACAATAATGCAATGATACAACACTAAGTAGGTAATTTGCAGAAAGCTAGTTTTGAGTGCAATGACATGTTCAACAACTTGTAAGACATGCATCAGGAGAATACAAGTAACCATGAGGACATGTTGCAGATATCAACATAAATAGTGTGGGCATCAACCCAACTCAATCATGCCAAGTCCCTTGACTTGACCCAAGTAGTTCTCCCCAATTATCCAAACACACACATTGGTTTGTGAAGTTCTGGACGTAGTTTAAGCAGCACCGCCCAACTGTCCTTGACCGTGGACACGACTATTCGAATAGTTTTACACTCTGCAGAGGTTGCACACTTTACCCAGAAGATCCGGGGAACTTTCGTGTCATCCACGACCCGCGATACCTCAAGTACCCGGGGTAAGCACCCGATCACTATCTTTCCCTAGACGACACTAAAAAGGAGTCCACTCATTGTTCCGTATCCTCACGATATACATCATACGAGACTCACTCGAGATCGTAACATCCGAGAGGGGACACAACGGTGTATCCGGTGCCCTGTGAAAACAGTCATGGCCGCCCTACCTGGCACGGCCCCGTTCCGAGAGAGAGCACCAACTCTCCCCCGTCACTAGTAATGCGGGCTCCAAGCTAGTATCGGCCTAGGTAATCAATAATGCCCTTTCCCATACAAGGGTAGAGTGGTTGCGCATGTAAGGTTGGGACAGTCGACAAATCTTAAATCTAATCCATTTTCGAAAACCACACGCACTTGCCTCGGTACACCACTTCATCATCAAGTGGTTACCCATCTCATCATCTCCCTCGGGCATAAGTGGCACCCGACGGGGTTTTCGAAAAGTCTTTTGAAAATACTTTGTCTCCTTCATCATGCATATACCCGTCCCTTTTTGCGTAACATCTACTTTAGCATCCTATCTACTCCCGCAGGCATAACCCTCATAAGAAGGTAGGATCATGCACAATGCAAGTATCAACGAGGAAGTAACGGTGGCAAACCACCCCATGTGGTCATCACAGTATCATGTCTCCGATGCAAGCAAAAAGTGCTATATAACATGCATAAAAAGGGTTTCATAGACATGGTCAAAGGGCTGCTTGCCTTGGTCTTCAAGTTCTTCAAATCCTTCTCCTTCTTCTTCTTCAGCAACTTCGTCTAATACGGGATCTAATCGTCGCAAGAAAATAACGAGAAAATAAGGCAATCG